AACAGTACATGGTGACCATGTTTCCACTTTACAGGTACAAATTACCTAGAATTCATTCAGACTTTTGCTGTAACTTTTGTTTTATACCCTTTTTCTTGAAGAGCTTACCAAGCAATGCCTATCTGTTTGCAGTTTTTTCGGCTTCATTGTTCTGCACATTGTCATGTATGCTGCAAACATCTACTTCTGGAGGAGATACAGGGTCAACTATTCCTTCATTTTCGGGTTCAAGCCAGGGACTGAATTAGGGTACCGGCAAGTCCTACTGGTAGCTTTTGGTATTGCAGTCCTAGCACTTTGCAGTGTACTCTCAAATCTCGACATGGAAATGGATCCCGTGACAAAGGATTATCAAGCATTTACTGAAGTCATCCCTCTGGGCCTGCTCATTGTAAGATACTTAAATATGAGACACTTTCCCAGCAGCAAACCGAAACTTCCAAAACTTCATGAACTCACCACCCTCACATTTTGTCCATGGCTCTCTGCAGCTGCTTCTGGTCATGTTGTTTCTGCCATTCAACATCCTGTATCGTTCTTCTCGCTTCTTCTTGCTCACATGTATCTTCCACTGCATCGCTGCTCCACTCTACAAGGTATTAATTTTTATTTTTTAGTTTGACTTGTGTCAGATGCATAATGAAGCTGGAGGGGTTTGTTTTTTGCCTCATCTGGTAAAATTTTATTTCCTTCGCTGCAGGTCACACTACCAGATTTCTTCTTGGGAGATCAACTAACCAGCCAGGTAAGCAATTGAAGACCCTTTCACCATTAAACCAAACTTGAATTCCTCAAAGGGAAGCCAACTAATAATAGTTCTCAACATGTATCTACTTCAGGTGCAAGCAATCAGAAGTCTGGAGTTCTACGTCTGCTACTATGGCTGGGGTGACTTCAGACGCAGAGAGAACACTTGCAGTAGTAGTGGGCTATTCAACACTTTCAATTTCATTGTCGCTGTGATTCCATTTGTTGCACGGCTTCTTCAGTGCCTTCGCCGCCTGTTTGAAGAGAAAGATCCCATGCAAGGCCTCAATGGGTTGAAGTACTTTGTGACCATAGTGGCAGTCACCATGAGAACAGCCTACGTCTTGGACAAAGGTTTTACCTGGCTTGTACTAGCCTGGGTATTCTCAGCCATAGCAGCCATTGGCTCGACTTACTGGGACCTCGTCTTTGATTGGGGGCTTCTTCAGCGCCATTCCAAGAACTGGTGGCTCAGAGACAAACTCCTAGTCCCCAGCAAAAGGGTATATTACTTGGCAATGGTGAGTCCAGAAAGATTCAAGCTTTTTAGGTTTCATCATCAATGTGGCAGCTACTAAACCTTGGTAGCTAACTTTTTGGGCCTTGTCAACCTTTTGCAGGTATTGAATGTGTTGCTGAGATTTGCTTGGCTGCAGACGGTCCTCGGCTATAACCTAGTTCCCCTGCATAAGCAAACTACGGTTGCCATTGTTGCAAGCTTGGAGATCATTCGTAGAGGCATCTGGAACTTCTTCAGGTAACTAACATTTTTTCATTTCTCTCAAACATGGAAGATGAGACCTCAGGTGCACTTATCAGATAAACTCCATCTGTAACAACTGTGGGCCATTTATTTGCAGGTTAGAGAATGAACATCTTAACAATGTAGGAAAATACCGAGCATTCAAATCGGTACCTTTGCCTTTCAACTATGATGAAGACGGTGACAAAGATGAGTAGCTTTGTGTTAACTCAGGCTGTAGGGGGGAAACATTGTATTATTCTGTGAATGAATTTTGATCTGGTGTAAAGTTCGTTTATTTATTCATATTCAAAGTTTCTTGAAGTGTTTTGTAGAAACATGGAGTCATCATCTTAGCTTCCTAGAAGAATCAGTTGGTTTCAGATACTAATAATATGGTCAAACATTTTGTCCAACATAAATTAGCTCCATCTCTTCATAATTTTTACTGCACCTAATCATTAAATCACAAACTAAATGCGAGCCACGGCAGTGATAAAGATGAATCAAGGCCATCTTACTGAGAATCCAAAGGGAGACATCAAGAATGTTATGACGCCCAGAATGCGGAAACCGAAAACCACATTGCAAGAAGGAATTCGTTGTTGTTGCCAACTCATCACAAACCCTGCAGATGTGAAAGACAAGTGATGGAGCACGATATCAAAGCAAAAACCAGTACCAACAATCACAACATGTCGCTGTGAAAATGAGATTAAACTGCGATAGCGACAGCCCAAAAAGATCCCAAGGAAAACAAGCTGTGATATGCCTGGGGTTGAATAGAATAGATGGATATGAAATATGGACAGTGTGCTGTTGAGAGATAGTTGCTGGAAACATCAGAAATCATTAGAAAGTAGGGTTTACGGTGCAACCTCGAGAGCTCGTTTGAGATTCCACCAAGGTTGTCAAACCGGTTTATGCCGGTATGACAGTTTTGTAAGTGGAATGGTCTAACCGTGGTACAACCAGTATTCATGTCGGTTGTGCCGGTTTTAATAAAATACATGAGGAAAATGGAAATCCCCAATTCCAAATAAATTAGTCATAAAAAAGCAATTAGAAGAATTATTTCACACAAAATAATTTATAGCTAAGAATTGGTAACTAATACTAAACAATTAGATGCTTAAAAATAAAATTTTATTAAATGAATTTTATTAATGTTTATAATGATTTGTGTAAAATTTAGTATTAGATATATAACATATAAGGTTAATATAGACAACAAAATTGCTTGTAGCCTACTAGTGTAAACTAAAATGAACATGAGGTACTTGGTTCAAATCCTATGGAGGATGTTTATTTTTGGATATAATGTGTGTAACATTAAATTCCGATTTCTGGTCTAACTGGCCGGAATTTCCGTATTTGATCACAGTTAAATACCAGCCCCTTTCAGCCGGTTTGCTGACCGGTACCGGTTGAACCCGGTTGAACCGGCCGGCATGAAACCGGTTTGACAACCATGGATTCCACTTAAAAAGGATTTCAGAATCCACTCAAAGAAAATAAGTCAACACTTTAATGATGACACCCTAGGGGGTGTTTTTGATACGATTGCACAGCCTCTCAACAGACAACAAATGATCTGAATTCCTTTGCTCAAGAACACAGAAAACAGAGTTTCAACCGAGCTCGGGTAAGCTTGTTTGAGACGTAATTTGATGGAAACGAAACAGGAAGCTCACACCTGGGAGATTACACGATCGCTATAGTGCTGCCTTCGATATAATTGAGTGTGTTTCTCAATCAATAGGCTAGGATTTCAGCAAGTTTTGATCGCAACCAAAACGAAAACAAACGTTGGGAATTTTGGGGTATTTACTCAAAATCAACTCTGAATTGTACAATACAAGAATGAGGGCTTTTATAGGCTTAAAAAACTCAAACAAAACTAAACACTACGTGAAATAAACCTAATTCAACAAGGAAACTAAATTATACATGTAATCCGAATAGAACTCGGAATCCTTATGGGATACGGATTGCTGCCGGTTTGAGATAGCTCTTTGGGACGTCTCAAACATGGTCTTCCAAGCCGAGTCGATCTCATTCAATTCCTGGCATTGGTTTAGAAAGTGTTCTAATTTCCATTCCAACTCGAACCAGCATCTGGATGTGTCCCAAACTCCAGATATTAAGATCCAAAATAAGCACCTTGAACTCGTCATTTGCCTTGGCAAAAAACAGGCAGATTCTCGGTTTCGACAGGGCACCTTTGAGAGCTTTAATCATGGTCCTCCAGACTTCATCTTGAACCTCTAGGCCATCCACATTGTAGAGGGATACTCCACCTTCAAAACAAGCCATCATATTTGAATTTCCATCGAGTGAATTGAAAGAACCGAGCCTCCAAAGTTGGTACCCTGAAACATCAAAAAGACTTGGGGACAAATTTTAGTTTCAATAATGCTTGTTGACTTGCCCTCTTTGACGATCAATACTGGATGGAAATGTATTGATTCCGGATTGTATCATTTAATAACTTCACTCAATCTGGTCCATGAATCTTCAGAAATATCCTCCTTGTAGAGGTACAAGCTTTATGTGTAACAAAGCTAATTCTATTTTTAACAAAAGTACTTAAGCGCTACTTTTTCTGGAAGACCTAAACATACAGGAAGAAAGTATTAGAAACCTCAAATCAGGAATAGACAGAAAAACGTACAACTACAGCAGAATCGGCATCCATCAAGTTGTATGCCACCAGCAATGCCACAGTTCCAGAAGGCATTTATCAGTCAATGGTGTAAGAAATATATGAAATACACGTAACTGAAAAAGAGATGTACAATGGCAGCATGTAGATCCCTAGAATTAGAATTAGTTTTCAAGAGCATCATAAACAAAAATGGGCAATCAATCCCTGATAATAAATTGGGTACATAATAGAAGGTTCTCTTTGAATGATATGGTAATGTCATAACTTCTAAAGGCATTAACAAATGAAGCCATAGCCCTGTTACTCTGACCACAGTCCTTGTCAACCACCCCTTACCCTGATTGGCATAACATAGCAGTCGTACAGCAGTTCAATCTATCATCAATCAATCCAACAGGAAATAGATTCCAAAGCAAAGAACCAAACCCTATCAGACAGAGGAACGATTCTTGCCATTCATTCATCCTCAAGCAGGCAAATGGATGCATCACATCTTTGTTTGTCACATAAGTTAGTCCTGTTAACTTCAAGCAGACTTGTCCGGATTTCATGGCAAGCATTGAGCTTTAAACTCAAGATTGTGGTTTGTAAACAGAAGCCTCGGAACAAAGCAAGAGGGATGGGGAGAGTTTATAAACCGGACATTGTATTAGTCATTACAATCGTTTTATTCTACAGAAGGAAGAAACACTTGAGCTAAAACACCCATTAGCTGAAGTTACCAGCTGAATTCAGAGTTCATAAGTAAATATCTATGTATAGGGCTCAAACCCCACAAAATTCTCATAAATTCTCTACAGCAAAGGGGGGCAAAAGATGAATGACATTCTAACCAGAGCTAGCTCATTGAATGGCTGAAGAAGCCTCCTCCTCGACAGCAATGACTTCAGATCTCGAAGCCGCCTTATCTCCTTCCTTCTCAGCGGAAGCCGTGGCAGCCGCCTTCCTCTGCTCCTCTTCCTCACGATACTCCTTCATCGCCTGCTCCTCGGCGGTCTTCTCTGCCCTCAAGATCGGCTCGTAGTAATCTGGGTTCGCGTCAAGACACACCTTCAATAACCTCGTTACCTCGGAACACTTCTCTACTATATCCTCTTTCTCATTCTCCGCCTCCTTCACGCAATCCTCCCAAGCTATGAAGGCATCTTTGCACTCGCCGCCTTTCATGAACAAACAGAACCCGCATTCTCCTTCTTCCTCTTCCTCTTTCTTCTCTATTGCCGGCTTCGACTGGTCTGATTCCTCCGCCGTAGTTTGTTGCTCCTCTGTAGGGTTTCGATCGGAAGACGACATGTCAGCAGGTTCAGTCGACAAGAGGGACGAGATTGGGTTGTGCGAATCGCCAGGAACCGGTGAAACTGTAGGCGGCGGCGTGGACTTCTCCGAGTGGGTAGGGTTTGTGGAAGGTTCTGTGCTGGTTGAAGAAAGTAGGCCTCCCATGGCTGAGAACTTGGGTAAAAACCTCCCCAAAACCCCCCACCAGAAAAAAATGCAAAAAGAAAATCGTACGTGTCAGTGTTTGATGTTTCCACTGTTTCCAGCGATCGGGCTCCTATTTTATGCAGAGGAATCTGACTTGTGTTTCACGGCTTGTTCCTCTTGGGCCTAGGCCTCAATTGGCGGAGTCAAGAGCACGCTGATTGTTTGCTACGTTTCTTGCATTTCAGCTCAATTTAAACTCTTTCCTTTGTCGAGCTCAGCTACAAAGTGGCTGTCTGTAGCCCACTTTATGTTTATAGAATTTCCTACACTAGCTTTTTTTTTTTGACAACTCCAATCTCCATATTTTATTTAGTGCGTAAAAGTGCCGTTACAGTCCTTCAACAAGTTCGAAATAATCAAAAGTGGAGGTCTTTCACACCAAATTTCAGTCTCCTCCCACCTACACTCAATCCGAGCCATTTCGTGAGCCACTGCATTACCATTTCTCCCCCAAAATCTCCACAACACTTCACCCTCCTCCTGAACTGCTGCTTTAATCTCTTCAACCACCACCCCCAATACCGTCTCACTTGATTCCTCTTTGTTCAGTTTCAGAATCAGAGACTGGCAATCCGATTCCATCAAGATCGGCTTCATCACATGTGCCCTCGCTAGACGTATCGCCCAAAGAAAAGCTTGAGCTTCAGCCATCTCAGGGTCCCAATCCACCCTTGTCCTTCTCACCGCCGATAAGATGAATTGCCCTTCATCATTCCTTATCACCATTCCCATCCATGTGCCCTTCTCCTTCAGTTTTGCCGCATCGACATTCACCTTCAGAGCTCCTCTCTCTAGTTTCTCGCACCGCACCATCGCTCTTGGCAATCTCTCCCGGGCGGATTCTGGGTTTCCGCTCCGATATTCATCCAGGTAAAACTGAGACCTTTCTATAATTTCACACTCTTCGAGCTTCTTGTTGTTAAAGAGGTGGTTGTTGCACTCCTTCCACATGAACCATAGGGCGATAGCCATTGAACATAACTCTTCATCTGCAGAATTCTCACTGAGTTCACACAACCACTCCTCTGTAGTCCTTGACTCTCCCATTAGGAACAATTTCTTTATGAAGCTGGGACGCCAAACCCTGCCTGCCCAATGGCAATCCCTTAGAATGTGTTCTTGAGTTTCCTTTAAGCCACAGAAAAGGAACTCATCACTAGACTCTTGGATGCGCTTAGTAAGGTTGCCTCCAGTTGATAGGATGTTACTTCCCCAGCTCCATAGGAATACACAAACTTTCGGTGGTAGTTGAAGCTGCCACATTCTTTTCCAGTTCACTGGAATATACATCTCCCCCCTGGTTCTCTTGTTTCTTCCTTCTCCATACATGATAACCAGATTTCACAGAGTACTTTCCCAACCTATCATGCCCCCAGACCCGAACATCTGTTTGTTGATTCCTTGGCAAAGGAATTTGGAGGATTCTTTCCCTGTCAATTGGGTGAAAGTGTGGCTGCAATAGGTCATATTTCCAGCTCCTGTCTGCAACTTCAATCAGATCCGAGACCCTTGCCTGTAATCCCAGCGATGAGACTGGTGATTCAATCTTGAAATTGGGACTGCTGGGGACCCATTTATCCCACCAAACACAAACTTGATCTCCACTTCAAATTCGCCACTTTATCCCTTATTTCATCAAGGACTGTCCCGCCATTAAACTACGCCATATATAGCTAGGATTGCTCCCTAGTTCAGCCTCCATTATATCACAATGAGGGTAGTATTTTGCTTTCATTACTCGGGCGACCAAGGAATTAGGATTTTTCACTATGTTCCACACTTGCCTTCCAAGGAGGGCAATGTTAAATCCATGGAGATCCCTAAATCCCATTCCCCCTTCACTCTTTGGTTTGCTAAGCTTTTCCCAACTCATCCAGTGTATACTTCTTTCTTCTGCCCCCACCAAAATTAGTAATGATTTTTTGAATTTCCTCTACCACTCCCTGCGGAATTAAGAAGACAGACATAGCATAGGTGCTTTGAGCTTGAGCTATTGCTTTAATCAATACTTCCTTCCCTGCGTTGGATAGTGTTTTACTCTTCCACATCTTAACTTTCTTTCTAACCCTGTCAATGAGCTGTGAGAACACTGCCTTCTTGGACCTCCCAATAGTTGTAGGTAGGCCTAAGTACTTATCATGGAAAATCACTTGCTTCATCCCCAGTAAGTTAGCCATTTCATCCCTATCCTCCGCCACCACATTACTACTGAAAGACAAATCAGATTTGGACAAACTAACTTGCTGACAGACTCTTCCTCATACTTCTTCAGGATCTGCTCATCATTTCTCCCTGTTCCTTCTTATTTTCAAAGAAAAATATGTTGTCATCAGCAAAAAACAAGTGGGAGATGGCAGGGCCATTAGCACTGATCTGAATGCCATTTAGTTTTCCTTCCACCACAGTTTTATTAGTGATAGCTAATAGCCCCTCTGCACACATTAGGAACAGGTATGGAGAGTTAGGAAAGATTATCTCAGATCGATAGCCATTGACAAGAATTGAATAGGACACAGTTCTAACACATTACATAATCAAACTGACCCACTTTCTGTCAAACCCAAGCTTGAGCATAATTCTTTCCAGGAAGTCCCACTCAACTCTATCATAAGCTTTTGCTATATCAAGCTTGGTTGCAATGTATCCTGTCTTCCCCACTTGCCTGTTTTTCATCGCATTAAAGCACTCAAAAGCAACCATAATATTGTTTGTAATGGACCTTCCTGGGACAAAAGCACTCTAGTTCTCCGTGATAACCTCATTTAAGATTCCCTTTCGTCGATTTGCAAGTACTTTTGATAATATTTTGTACAATACTTTGCAAAGACTTATTGGCCTTAATTCCATTGGAGTTTTGGGTGTCTTTGGAATCAAAGTAATAAGGGTTTGGTTTAGACTCTCTGGTACTAATCCTGCTTCAAGGAATGACTGTAGTTCCTTCGTGATGACAGGTCCCATAGTTTGCCAATTCTCCTGGAAAAAAGTGCAGGCATGTCATCTGGTCCAGGGGCCTTCATCAGAGCCATTTGCTTCAGCGCTCCCCATATTTCCTCTTCTTGAAACAGTCTCAACAGGTAATTATTCATCTCAGTTGTTACCTTACTTTGAACTGCATCTATAACTTCACTCCCTGATGAACTTGGTCCTGCTTTGAAAAAGTGTCTTATAATACTCCACCATTCCCTTCATAACACCCTCTTGACCTTCATAGGTTGTGTCATCTATACCCTGTATTTTCTTTATTGTATTTCTCTTTTGCCTATCCGTGGCTTTTCGATGAAATTTTTTTGTGTTTTGATCCCCCCCCCCCCCTAAGCCAATCTGCGTGTGAACGTCCTCCTGGTAATAAAGTTCACTCAATTATTTTTCCACAACCCTTCTCTACAGTAGAACTGCCTGATTTTTCCTTCTTTTCGACAAAGACCCCAGTACCCTCTATGCCTTCCTTATTCTGCGTTTTATGCTTCCAAATGTTTCCCTACTCCATTTGAGCAAGGATTTCTCGCATTCCTAGATCCTTTCCTTCATACTCTTCCCTTCATCCTTTTGCCACTCCTCCACTATTACTTGGGGGTAGTCCTGGTGATTCTGCCAATATGCTTCAAAGCGAAACCGCCAGCCCCATCTAGGCCTCTCTTCACGTAGATGTAGCTTAATTTGGATAGGGAGATGGTCTAAAACCCATCTTTCCAGGTGGTAAACCGTGCAAATTTGAAGAGTTCTTTCCACTTACTGTTAGCCACAACCCTGTCCAATCTCTCTTCCAAATATTCCTCATCTGTTTGACCATTATCCCATGTAAAGTCATTGCCAATATACCCCAAATCCTCCAAACTACACGCATCCAGGACTTCTCTAAATTCTTCCATATGATGAACATCAGGTGGTCTTAGACCATTATTCTCTTCGTATCCCAGTACTTGGTTGAAATCCCCACAAAGAAGCCAAGTTAAGTCAACTTGTCTGTGCAGTCTTCTCATTAGAGCCCATGTCTTGTGTTTCTTTCCTTGACCTGGCCATCCGTATATAACAGTAAGGCGCCAATTCTTAGATGGGTCAGATTCTTCTACCAAGACATCTATAAAATGTCTAGACTGATCCTTCACTGCCACTTTCAACTCCTCCTTCCATAGTAACAATAATCCTCCAGCTTTGTTTTTTGATCCCACTCCTTTCCCCTTAGTCCATCCGAGGTCTTGCATTACTTGTTCCCACTCATGGTTTTGTTTCTTTGTCTCCATAAGAAAGACAAAACTGGGGTCCTTTCGGCATAGTAGCTCTACTACCCTCTTCACTGTTGTGGGGTTCCCCAATCCACGACAGTTGTAACATAAGACACTCATTGGGCTGGGCGGCTCTGCAATTTAGCAAAGTCCGCCTCATCTCCATCCATATCATGTGTTCTTTGTTTCTTAGTGTCAATGTCCATATCGGTCACATGGTCTTCCTCAACTCCCCTCTTAGACCCTCCTGTTTGACTTTGATTGAGGCCCTGAGGTTTTTCCTTCTTCTGTACCTATCATTTCCAAACCCCTTCCTTTTTCTTGTCCTGATGTTCAGTAATACTATCTTTCTCTCTGACTTGGTCCTCCTCCTTCTCTGTTAGTTTTGATCGACTAGTTGCCAGCTGATCCTTGAACTGCTTTAGAAGCTCACTATTTGCCACTTTTTGCTTCTCGTTCCAAATCTTTTATGAGCTTTCTTCTCTTTCATAATCATCCGGGGGTCCTTCTTCCTTGCCCATTATTTCCAGCTTCTCTATCTCAGTCAAGCCTACTATAGAATCCATAAACAGGGTTATTTCCTTAGCCACTGCTGTGGAGATTTGTAGAGAGCCTGCTGACATAGTTCCAAATTCCTTTTGAAGTGACATCCACAGTTTAGATTCCTTGTCTCTATCCTGTTTTGACATTCGTGGCCCCCTAGGAAGGGGCTCTGCTTTTATCCAATGCCCATAA